ACACCTGTTTGTATCCAGAACTGCGGCTGTGGCAGCTGTTCCTCCAGAACAACACAGAGCCATTCACCAATACCACACCACAGAGACAGAAATCTGCCCCTGCTTGTCCTCCACATCCAGGGATCATCCAGACCCCATCCCAGCAGCAGCTTTCCAAAATCCTCTCTGGGCAGGCTCACTTTTACACAGGGCACCACCACGGGGTGCGACGGTCCTGTTCCAATTACCTTCATGACACAGAATTTTTGCTTCTCTCCTTTATGTTCTTGCCAGTGGCGATCTGTTCCACACTTGTGCTCTCCGTGCCCTCTGTGATCCCCCTTTCACTACAGTTCACAACCTCTTGTGTATAGAATGTTGAAAGGGCAAAGGCTAAAAATGTCCTCCCAGCTGGGCCTCTGCCCTCGCACTGACTTGGCTTGTTTGTGACCAAAGATGAGCTCAACCTCAAAGTCAGGCCGAGGCAGAGCTTCTGGGCTATCAGAGTCCAGGGATCCCAAATAACAGTTCAGAAGGAATGTGGAGGAGGATGCACCTATTTCTAAATTCAAAGAGTGACTCTGCAGAGGTGCCTGCACGCCACCTACATGGTGCTTAGCAGTCATTTGCTCTGTATGAAAGAGCAGTAGGAAAAAAAAGATCAGGCGAGCCTGCTCTTGGCAGGGGTGGGAGGGAAAAGGAGAAAAACACCATCAGCTGCTGCAGGCTGAGCCGTGTGTATTTACATTTCACAAGCTAAACCATTTAGTGGTTTATTTACACACAATGTGCTTGGAGCAGCTAAAATGCCAGTTGTGTTTTATCTTGATTTTGTGGCAATGCACATAAGCCCTAAGAGCACACATGAACAGTCTGCAAATGAAACACAAACCTTACACATCTGGAAACATCCACAAACCAATACAACCCAGGGTTCAAAGGCAACCATCAAGTCACAATAAAGCAGTGCATGCTGAAGGAATTGCCCAGCCCCATCTAACTTTCATAACCAAGACAACCTACAGCAAGGCATAGGGGGCCCCGGGTCCCTCTGGGCTGCCCTTCCATGTTAGAGCGAGGAGGGAGCTGCAGCCAGCTCCATTTTATGCACATCTGATGGCAGGACGCCAACACAACTGTTGACTGAGCCAAATCTGGGCCCCCTTGAACTAAGCCATCACCTAGAGCAGTGTGGAAAAGCACATGCCTCTTGTGTCTGCAGCGGCCAAGTTCCTGAAAAGCATCCGAGTTGCAAGATAGCTGGTTTTTTTTCCCTTGACTCAGAAGAGGACTGATGTGTTAACTCTTTTATATACGCTCCCAGCTCAAAACTGAAAGGTTGCTATATGATGGAACCTGTTGCTATGAGATGCAGAGAATCAGGAGAGTTCCTCACAGTAAGGCCAGCCATTTGCTAGATAGCCCAAATGGCAGCTTGGGCCAACATGTGAACCCACAGGCAGCTGTCATTGCTCGCTCCAGCTTGTCAGCGCTCTCAGCCAAGGTGCAGGTGGCTGCCTTCCAACAGGAATCTCATGCTGACAACAGAGAACGCAGCACAGGCGAGGGACAGCCTTTTGGTCAGGTCGCTTCTTACCCTCCTTCCAAACTGATTCTTGGCAGTGAGCTGCCAGCAAGCATAGGCACTGTACAGAGAGCATCACTGGGAATTTCTCCAGAGTAAAGACTGCTCCTGAACCATTACCTGGCAGCAGAGAAATCCCTCTGCTGACTGCTGCTTTAATTATATAGAAAATCAGCTTTTGGTCCGTGTTCCATTATAGTAGTAGCAATAATTAAAAGTACTTGAAGCGAGGAGTCCTCTGAACCTGCTGTTCCATCCAGGCTTCTTGGCATCGCACACTTCCCTTCTTGACTGATATCCTCAGGGAACCAGGCCGACTGTTATTCTGTTCTGCTCCTGTTACAGGACTGTACTGCGCTCTCTCAGCGCATGTAAGCTGCTAGGTAATATTTGTGTTGGCAGCTGACTCGCATACTTCATGGAACCAGACCTCCATCTGACCCTCCACACAGCTCCCACACGCAACTGGGTCCGCTCCTTCAGACAGCTTCCTTCTGCTGCAACGCACGCCGTTCCTGTGCCCAGCCCGTCTGAAGGCTACAGATCCAGAAGAGAGCTGATGTGCTCAGAACGAGCAGCCGGGCTGCAAGAGGCGAGCCTGCAGAACATCTTCACAAGACCGACTGAAGAAAATGAGGGCAGAAATTGCATGTAGATGTCCTGGTTTTTCTCCTAAAAAGCTTGCTCTAACTAAACATTTCTGTAAAAAGAAAACTGAATTTTCTGGAAATTCTGTGAAAAAAAAGACACTAACACACAGATTTCTGTGATAAAACTGGTAGCTGTATTTTGTCTTTGTCCTTTCTTTTTATTTCCAAGAATATAGCCCAGCCTTAAATATTTAGGCAGTAACATCGCCTCAGAAAACAGTTTCACACCAGAACTCTTCCTTTTTGCCTAAATGACACCATCCATAGCAAAAAACAAACCAAAGTCATGTGTCCAGATGATCAGATTCATCTCTGCTACCCATTCACCCTGTGCCTATCAACAGCTCCATGTAAAGCCAGCAGAGCTAAACCAGAACAAAGCGATGCAGAGAACAGGAGTGCGATGGCCGCAGTCAGCCCAGGGCTGCAGGCACTGCACAGCGGAGGGAGAGACTCCGATGCCCCATCCCCCACCTCAGCAGATCCATGCCTTCAGTGCAGCATTATGGAAAACATCTCAATGTAGAACTCACTCAGACTGTGAAGATTTCCAACATTCTGAATTGGCATTCATCATTTTATTACTTCCTTCCACCAAATAATACAGTCATACGGAAGTGCATAACACAAACAAGCTGTACACTCTTTCCACTTGAATACTTGCAGCATTTTATCTCTTGTAAATTTAGATCCTCAGGTGAACTCGTCAAACAAAGAACACAGAACTGTATCATCCTTATATGTACGGGCTTTCCCCAGTTTGTCATCTTTGCGGGAAAAACTTCCAACGCCTGGAAAGGAAACGGATTGTCGACTGAATTTTGACTGCGTGTCGTACCTACATTTCAAAATCATAAAACGATGACAATTGTGTAGCACAGTCAAATATTTCTTCTCTCCATCTGATTCCCGTGAATAGCTTTTATATATCCTGCAGCAAACTCCCAGCTATCACATTTGCATATGCTATCTGTATTATTTCAGCAGCTCAGACTGAATGGAGAATTATTCTCTTCTCATTAAGCGACTCGCCATTTCTCTGAACAAAATAGAACTCAGTTTATCAACAAACCTTAGAAGAGGCTGACTTACCCATTTCGCACACAACACTCCTTTTCTCCCCATGAGATGAATTACAGCCAGGTGCCACACTCCTCGCTTCTCATCACTCCCAGCACCATCTGAGCGCAGCCACAGCAGTTATGCAAGGAGGTTCACCCAGGGTGACAGACAGCACCACATCCGCCTCCTTCCACAGCCACACCAGGTCGGTCTCCCACCATTCCCAACGACTGCACCCAGCGCTGCAGCTGTGCCGCTTGTGGGAACGGTGGGAGGGCACACGCATGCTGGGAGATTCACTTACACCAGCATCATCACCATCACACGGGCCAGCAGTGCTGCTCTGCATCAGCTTAGACACAACACTGAGATCCACAGCTTGCCTTTGGGCAGCTCTTGCAAAATCTGGCCTTTTATGACAATGGCTCCATTTTGCAGGTCAGAGGACTAGGATTACTTTGCCGAGATAAGCTCAGAGCCCTTTTATAACACTACAGAAGCATAATTCAGACAGACAAAACCACGTCCTATTCTATGCGGCGAGAGATCGAGGCCAGACCTAAAACCCGACGACGGACGTTTTTCCAGGGCAGACTTCAGCGTTCGCGCCCACACGGGCAGTAACAGAGCCGGTAACAGCGGGGGTCGGCGGGACCCGCGCTCAGCAGCCGGCCGCGAGGGCATTCCGCAGCATCCGTGGCCCCGAGCCGCCTCGGTACGGCGCAGGAACGGGCGACGAGGAGCCGCTGCAGAGAGCGTCAAACCGGCACAGCTCCGCCACGGCTCAGGGACGGGATCGCGGAACCGCGCCGCACCCGGCGGACCCTGCGAAGGGGCGGGAGCGGCGGTGGGCACGGGGAAGTTCAGGTCAAAACAACTGCCATCGTTTTGCCAACCGAGGCCTAACCCCGCCGGTGTGGCACCGGTGCCGCGGCTCTCCCCTGCCAGACGCACAGCCCGCTGCCCCCACCCCTCCGCGGCGCCCCAAAGGGAGGTGATGGAGATGATGGAGGTGACGGAGGTGATGGAGATGATGATGGAGATGCCCGCGGCCCCGCCGCCCGCCGCCTCACCTGGGCTTCCGCTTTCGGCGGGGCTCCTCCGCCGGGCCGGCAGTTCTGCGGGGACGACACAGCGGTGAGGGGCGCGCCGCCGCCGGGCCTGCTCCGCTCCGCGCCGCCCGTTCCTGCCCGCCCCGCCCCGACCGCGCCGCTCCGCCCCCCGCACCTGGAGGCCGGGCCGCAGCGGGGCAGGCGCTGCCGGACCGCTCCTCTCACCATCCGCGCCGCCCCGGGCGAGGCCACCGGAGCCACGGCCACCGAGGCTCGGGCTGCGCGGAGCGCGGCCGCCGCCTCGCGCCGGTCCCGGCCGGCCTCGCCCCGCCCCCGCTCCTTCCCGTTGGGCGAACGGCCGGGCCGGCGGCCGCGCGGTCCTCCGATTGGCGGAACGGGCCGTCGCTCCGCGCGGCCCTTCCCTCCCCGCGGTACCGCCCGTTCGGCGGGAGGCGGCCGGCGCGCGGCAGCGCCACCCTGCGGTGAGGCCGGGGAGGCGCGCAGACATCCGGGCCGCTCCACATCCCGCCCCGCATCCCGCCGCGCGCCCCGCCCTCACGTCCCCGCCGCTCCCGGGGGCGACCGCCGCACCTCGGTCGGAGCCGCAAAGGCGGCTCCGCGTTGACGGCGACCGCGCCGGCACCGAAGCGCCGCCGCCCCGCCTTCTCCGGCCGCGTCCCCGAGGGGGTGTGGCGGCGCGCCGCCCCTCCTCCTCCCCCCGCCTATTCGCGGGCTCCGCCGGCACAGCCCCTTCCCTTTTCCGCCCGGACCGCGCCGGAGCCGCCATCATGGTGAGTGCCGCGGCCCTGTCCGCTGCCATCCGCCGCCATCCGCGGGCCCTTGGCCGCCCCCACCCGCCCCCGCCGCGGCACCGGGCTCGGGACCGCCGCTATTGCGGGGTGGGGGGGGACGGGTCAGGGCGGGCGGCGGCGCGGGGCCGTGGGGCGGGGGAAGGCTCGGGATGGGGCTGACGGGCTGCCCGCCGCCCGCAGGCCAAGATCAAGGCCCGAGACCTGCGGGGGAAGAAGAAAGAGGAGCTGCTGAAGCAGCTGGACGACCTCAAGGTGGAGCTGTCACAGCTGCGGGTGGCCAAGGTGACGGGCGGAGCCGCCTCCAAGCTGTCCAAAATGTGAGTGCGGGAGCGGACCGAGGGGGGGGGGGTGGGAGCGGGGCCGGGGCTGCTGTTGCTGTTGCTGCTGCTGCTGCTGCGCCAGGCGGCGGAAGCGGCGCGATGCAGACTGGCTGTCACGTGGGCGCGCTGCTGCTGGGCGCTCCGGTTTGAAATGTCCGCCAGCCGCCCCTCTGAGCTGATCTGTTGTCATCCTTCGCAGCCGCGTGGTGCGTAAGTCCATTGCCCGAGTCCTGACCGTGATCAATCAGACCCAGAAGGAGAACCTGCGGAAGTTCTACAAAGTAAGTCTGCGCTTCTGCTGTAGTGGTCGCTGTTGTCCGGTCACAGTGGGGCCTGCAGCGGCCTTCCTGTGAGGCACGGCCTGCTTCTGGAAGGAGCGGTTCCTGCAGTGCAGATACTATTAACTAAGTGTTGGTTATGCTGCAAGTGACTGAGGGATTCTTGCTCTCAAGGCTTTTTGGTTACCTTCCTAATGTTACTTGTTAAGAATTTGGATTGTTTGGAAAAGGAGAGAAATAATGTTTCAAGAGGTAAGGTTCAACCTTACAACCAATTTCTCTGAGTCAAAGTTAATACAGCTGGTACAGAAGTTGGTATCACTCATGTTTTGCAGCAGATAGCTCCAGTTAAAAGAAACTTGAGGTGCTGCTGTGAGTCTATGTGCAGCTTGGCTCTCTGTGTGCTCATGCTTCTGATCCCTGTATTGCCATCTCTTGACCTCAACTCTCATATGTTTTGAAAACAGGGCAAAAAGTATAAGCCTCTCGATCTGCGGCCAAAGAAGACTCGTGCCATGCGGCGCAGGTTAAATAAACATGAAGAAAACCTGAAGACCAAAAAACAGCAGCGAAAAGAACGTTTGTACCCTGTCCGAAAATATGCCATCAAGGCATAAGAGTGCAGCGTACCGGAAGTTCCTAATTGCATTGGCTGAGTACGTGTCATTAAATAGAACTTTGTTTGGAAGGTGTCAGTGGTGGTCTCTTGAATAGCGGTGAGGTACAGATGTCATCAGTTTCGTGGAGAGGAACAGGATTCGCAGTGCCTCTCTGAGCTTTTACTGCTAACGAATCTACTAACACATTTTGCAGCTTAAGATTATTTTTTCTTTGTGAAGAGTGAACAAATGAATACAGATCTGTGGTTCAACTTAAAGTGTAAGGCAAAAAAATTTAATTTGAGGTTCATTTAAAATCGGAACTGTGCAGTTTACAGTCAGATTCATTGGGATTCATTGCTTAAGGAGCTCTAGAAAAAACATTTTTGTCTTGTGCCAGAAATTATGTGTTGTGGAGGTGAGCTGCTTTGCTGAGGGGTCCCAGTGGACTTCCTTGAAGCTGAAGATTTCCCTGGTCGCCTGGAAAGCTATGGTGTCACCTGCGCTGCAGCCTCTTCCAGCCGCTTTCTTTAACCTAGTATCTCCAGGGAGTAGAGCAGATACACGTGGCCCTCTGGTCTTGGACAAAAGGAGACCTGGGAACTGCAGCATTGTAGCTGAAATCTTGTCTTTGCATTATTACCTAGAGGATCCAATCTGCTCTACAGAGTCTGATTAGGAGCATGCTAAAGGATGACGCATTTCTTTGGCGTTCAGCACATAAACAGATTTCTGAGGTTGAGCAGCATGCTGTTCTGTGCTGCTGTCATTAACAGTATCACAGGCGTTGGATAGCAGATCCCAAGCCTCTCGCACATAAACCAAAAGGTCTGTTGTAAGATGTCCACGATAAGTTGTAGCAGCACTTTCCTTCCAGATGGTGCAGGGCTGCAGAGGGATTGCAGCAGGTGCCTGCAGACGGATGCTGTGCTCACCCAGAGAGTTAATAGTATAAAGATGACCCAATTCTAATAGCATGCAGGGCATTTCTTTTGAATGAGAATTGTCCTGTCAGGCCACTGCTAGCATGCGAGATGGGAAAGGAGGAAATTTGGTTACAGTTGAAGAGTTAGGATGGCATGAAAGTTTCTGACCAAGCGTGTGCATTTGGAGGCTGATTGCAGTGAAACAAAATACAGCAGCCAGGGCAGAGAAAGCTGGTTCAACCAGAATATTGTTACCTTGAGAGTTTGTAGGCACTCCCCCATCTCAGGGTTCCAAACTTTAACCTGTGAAGCACAGAACTGGTTAAGTGGATTTTCTGTCCCCTGCTGAAGTCTTTTGGAGCCCAGCATTCTGATTTTGCAGGCCTTTTTTGGTTCTGATGTAATGAAGAGTTGCCCAGTGCTGTGATGCAGCAGCGATGGCTTGTGTTAGTGAAGTTGATGTATTCAAATGGAATTCTGTACTCATCAGGGAGTCCTTCCAAAAGATTGGATCCAGATTCTGTTCAGGGAAAAGATCTTAATTCTGCCCGCTGAACTCAGCATACATATGAAGGATTTTTAAGCCTCAAATAAATTGTAACCAGAGGTCTAATTATGTGTGGTAAATTGAGTTTCCCATATATTGAGCTCTTAGGAGGGATAGCTTTGCAATGATGCTAATATTGGCTGTGATCACTTTGTTCAGAGCTCAGTGTGGACCTGAACATGATATGTTTGGCACTAAAGGAGACCCAGCCTGGCAAGCTGTGGGCTCAAGCCCTGCAGGGGTCCAGGCTGCTGAAGCACACTTTAAGATGGAGTATTGTGTGTGGAAGCTTGGGCTCCGTGAGGCTGACGCATTGCCTAAACAGAGATGGGGTTACAAGGTAGGTTGCTTCCCATTTCTGAATACCTTGCAGTGGCCAGCAGCAGCCCGTTAGGAGAAACAGGAGCTTTTGACCAGTGCCAGGAGCCCGATGCCTGAACAGGGAAGGAAAGGCTGCTCCTGCGTCCTGGCAATTGGGCAGCCTGTGCTCAGGTGAGTTTGGGCTTTTCTGGAGAGGCGTTCTGTGCCCCAGCACTGCTAGGGGCAGCACTAAGCCTGATGGCTCTTGGCAGCATTCCTGTCACGGAGGAGCAGACACGGGAGACGTTGTCCTGATGGCCCACAAGTCCTGTCCTGAGCACTGGGGTGTAAATTCCAGACTGATGTATGATCCCAGGAGCTGACTGCCTGTTGAGAGGAGCACGAGCTGTGCTGTGATTTGAAAGAAGGCAGGGAGAAGCTGAATGCAGAGCTGGAGGCAGCATCAGAGTACGCTTCACGTGTCGTGGCTGCTGCTGTCTGCCCCCAGCCAGGGATGTGACAGCAGCACTGCTTAGGGAGGATCTTTATAGAAGATCCAACGGGCTGTCCAACGCTGTCACTAACACGCCATTTATTAGTCAGTAATGGGGAGAAAAAAGAAAAACAGAAAGAAATTTAATTACCAGGCACTGACTATCCCAGGGAAAGTCACAGGTTGGGATAGCACTGCTGTGCTCAGAGAAGACAACTTGCAGAGACAAAATCAACAGCAGCTTGAAGCTGCCATCACTGAACGTCTGAGGTGGCAGCGCAGTGTGCTGCTGTTTGTGTGTCTGCAGTTCCACGAGGTGCAGTTATGAGCAGTAACTCGTTCCTTCCCTTCCCTGAGCACAGTGCTTCTGCTAAGGGTTCAGGTAGGGAAAGCATTTGTTGCTGCCGTCAGAACAAGAAGGATGTGCGTCCCCGGCCTTCGTGCGGAGCTTTGCGGGGCCGTCAGCAGTTCGTGCTCGTTCCCCCTTACCTGAGAGTCCCAGAGGACGGCTGTGTTGTCCCAACTCTCTGACGGCAGCTGTTTGCCGTCGGGTCTGGGGCGCACGCGCTCCTGCAGGGTCCTGTGAGGGCAGGCGGTGCGGCCCCGGTTGCGGTGCGCAGCTCGTGCCTGGACCCGCGGGTCGGAGGCCGCTGCTGCCCCGCACCGCTCGGAACGAAAAGTAGCTGCGCTGCGCGGCGGTGCGGTCTCGCGAAGCGCCGGGCAGAAGCGGCCGTCGTGGCAGAACCTGCGGTCGTTCGCGGGCCCCGCGGGGAAGGAAAAGGAGGATGGCGTCGGCGGGGGATCCGGCGGGACGGGGTTCCCTCTTTTCGGAGTGCAAGGCTCTTCCGGCGGGGCCGAGGAGCGGGGCACGCACCCACCTCCCGCCGTTCCTCTGCAGCCGCGCACCGGCCTCGCGACGAAGCGGCCGCCGCGCCGAGCCCGGCTCTGACCGCGGGGCGGCACCCGCGGGGCTCGGGCGGAGCGTCCTTCCCGAGCGGCCAGAGCCGGCTGCCGCCCACGGGATCGCGTGGCCCAGCACCGAGCGAGCGGACGGCGGGGCCTCGGGGTACGGGGTGGGCGAAGCGGGAGCGGAGCTGCGGGCCGTGCCGGCCGGGCCGGAAGGCCCGAGGGCCGTGGGTGCGGTGGGAAACCTTCCCCGTGCCGCTGCAGAGGCTGAGCCCAGGCCCTCACGTAGCCGGGACGGTGCGGACAGAAGGGTCAGGGAGGGCAATAAAAATAGACCGCTGCAGCTGGCTCCATCTTCAAAGCACGTTTGCAATGTGGGCACAGCACCAGAACACGCTCTCATCTGCTGCCTGAAGCACATTGCTCATTCCCCAGATCAGCAGCCCTGGCCAGATGTAAGAAGCAAGGGAAGGGCTGGTTCCCTCTGTTGAATTTTCCAGGTGCTGTGGATCCCATTGGCATGGCACTGTGGCCTCACAGTTCTCAGTGATGCCCAGAGGGGGGTTGTGTATGGCAGGTGGCCATGGAAGTGTGCTCTTTCCCCTACAGGAGGAGAAGCAGCCTTCCTCGTTAAGGCCTGGGGCTGGCACGGCTGGTGGAGCAGGAAATGGCAGCTGTGGACATGGAGCTCTGGAGTTGGAATGAGAGCTGAGGTGCTTGGCACAGGGCTGGTCCCCTCTAGAGGTTCCAGTGTGCCTGGAACTGCAGATCCAGGCAGGCACTGACCTTCCATCAGCCACAGTAAGGCTGCCTCCAGCTGGGAGAGCACCTGGAGCAGGGCCCACGCTGAGCATGGCACCTGCACCACATCCTGCACACAGCCCAGACGGTAACTGAGAAGGAAGCAGAGAAGGTTGAGGAGAACCGGGACTTATTTGGTTCACTACCCATCCTGCCAGTCCTCTCAGGATCAGTTTGTGCCCTGCTGACCAGAGGGTGTTTGTGGAGCAAAGGATGCCGTTCATGCAGCCACCCCCCACTCGGCCCCATCTATCCTTCCCTGGGTGCTGCATCACTGTGGCCTCAGGCCCTGCAGTCCCGCCATGTTCCCATCTCAAGCTACATTTGCTGCTCGCTGCCACGCGGAGGGATTTTAATCTCTTAATCACGTTATGAGCAGAGGTGGTGCTGGGCTCGCACAGGAGGAATGTCTGGAAGTCAGCTGCGTCTGGCACGGCAGGAGCCCATCCTGTCCCAGCCACGTGTCCTCACCACAGCCTGCCTGGTGACATCTGTCCCACTTGGCCCTGCCTGGCCAGCAGCACGAGGACGAGTGGCACTGTGCAGACCAGAGGCAGGCAGGGCTGCATCTGGCCCAGCTCTGTGGCGGCACCCAGGGAGGTTTCAGGCATCACTGAGCTGCGTGTTCCAGCCCTGAAAAGGAGCTGAGAGGCGGCTCCGTGGCTGCAGCTGTGGGGGAGCGCATGGCACACAATAGCAGAGAAAGGCATCAGGGTGACTTTCAGTTGAGAAGAAGACGGAGCGGTGGGGGGCCGGGGAAGCCCGGAGAACACATCATAATAACTCCTCGGGGAGACAAAGGCCCTTTGTTTTTGCTCACTGCTGGTGCTGTGTCAAGCAGGAGTGGGGCAGGCAGCAGGGATGCTTCGCAACGCCCACACAGAGCAAAGCCTCGGGATGGGGCGGTCGGTGGCGAGCTGCAGATCCACGGGACCAGGCTGTGGTGCCCAGGTGGGGCAGGGAGCCACTGGGGAAGGACTGCTCTCAGGAAACGTCCGTCACTCGGGCGCAGAGTTCCTTGTTATCTGGTGCTAATGGCAGCCCGGGCATGCTCTCAGAGGGGCGCTTCGCAGGAGGCCTCGAGGCTGCAATTAGCCAGCACTGCCCTCCAGCCACGCGGTTCTCATTAACCTCACCCTGGGAGCTCCCCGCTCCCCGCCCCTTCGGGCCCCACGCTCCCTCCTCTCGCCTGGCTCTGGGCAGCGGGACGGAGGTGCCGGTGGCACCGCACACAGGTGCCGTGCGGATGCCCGCGGTGTGGGAGCGCTGTGGCCGGGGACACGGTGCGGCCGTGCTTCATTTTTGCTGTTTTTTCTCCCAGCAGGAATGGAGAGATGCCCCTAACCCCAACCCATCGCTGGATTGGTGCAGCAAGAGAGCACAGAGCAGAACGGCAGCCCCCGCGGAAGAACAACAAAGCCCTGGAATTAGAGATGTGCTGGGAGTTTACTTTACTGCAAAAAAATGTCAGAAATCTGTATTGTTTGGACAGGGATTTGCTGGGGATCGTTAGATAAAAGCCTGGCAGGGACCCAGCCAGGGGGAAAACAGTCAGGCGGCTCCTTTCCCGCGGCGGGGACTGGCGGCTGAGCAGGGGATGCGCCGCACCGCGCCGCGCTGCCTGGCGGTGGCTGTTGGGCTTCGGGCAGGAGCAGGGCCGGGCAGGACGTCCTGCGGCCCCGGGACGGAGCCGGGCTGCCTTGCGAGGTGCCATCCTGGGCTGTTCCCAGCAGGAAGCTTCAGCCGTGCACTGGACGCGTGCTCTGCCCCAGGGCTGCTCTCGCCCCTTTGCCACCCGGGGCCCCCTGGCAGCGTCTCACTTGCCAGATTTTGCAGTGGGTCAGGGCAGCTGCAGCCGCATGTGCCCACGCTCAGCTGTTCTCTCTGTTCAGGTTGTAGTGAGAGCAGATTTCCTGGCACCATCCCAGCTCCCAGATGTTCCTCCTCAGGCTGCAGCTCCGACCTGGAAACAGCAAATTCCTCTTTTTTTCCTCAGGACAAGCCAGGCTGTGCTCCTGGCACTCAGCGCCTGCGGGCCGCGGCCATGGCACAGCTGCCAGGTGCCAGCCCAGCCTGGCTTTGGAAGGAACACACGGTCAGACGACGTGGCTATTTATCTGTTACTTTTTAATACTGTTCACTTCTAAATTGACAGAAACCAAGCCAAGCAATGCCCTACTGGGGAGGAGCACAAAGGCTGCAGCTCCCTGGCTACGTGCCCATCCCAGCCTGGTGTTGGGTGCTGGGTTCAGGCAGGGCAGAGCGTCACACCAATACTGCTGTGCCAGCGCACAGCTCCTGTGAATGCATTTAAATAACAAGCTAACGGGCTGCAAAAGCAAAGGCATCTTAATTGCGTCTTCTAAAATAGCAATCAGTGGCTGTTCCTCCCAGCGAGGCAGCACCCAAGTTGCACCCGCCCTGCAGGACGTGGTCCCAGGTGGGCCAAGAGCACCCAGAGCTGCAGCAGGAGCGGGGCCAGGCTGGGTGCAGCCACTCAGTGCTGGGGTGGGCGCCTGGTGTGGGGACCCACAGCTCCTCGCCCTGCCCCAGGGCTTCCAGAGCCGCCGGAGGTGGGACGTGGCCCAGCAGCCACCACGTCGTGGGGGTGTCCCCTCACCCCGGCGCTCCCCCAGCCCGGCCCCAGTGTGCTGCACACTGTGGGGCTTCTGGGTGGAGAGGGCTCCTGGGGAGCTGGGCTGTCCCCGCGGCCCTGGCCAGCACTCAGACCACAAAGTGCAGCCGGTATGTCATCTGATGGCCGTTGTCCCAGGCGTAGAGCACCTTCTCCTTGGGGTTGTAGTCAACCTGTGTGGTGAAGGCGTACTCGTTGAGGAAGGGCAGCCGCAGCTCTGCCTCGGTGTCTGTGTGTGTGTCGAAAGCATAGGAGATCTGCCCCTCCTTCTGGCTGGAGGTGTCCACGGCATACAGGATGCCGCAGATGATGAAGCAGTTCCCGTAGGCGTTGCGCTTCAGCCCCGTCCTCCAGGTGGTCTCCCTGCGTACTGACAGGTCCCCGGGGTCCAGGCGGCTCAGCACGATCACCTCCTGCTGCGTGTAGTCGTCGTCCGCCGAAGGGTAGATGACCCAGAGCCCGCTCTCATCCACTGCAAAGTCGATGTCTGAGTGCCCCCTCCACTTCCAGGGTGTCGTGTCCTCGTACACCACGTCGTGCAGCAGGGCCCATCCCGCCACATAGCGCTCCTTCAGGTCGTACTTGATGATGTTCTTGGTGAAGGCGCGGTTGTAGTAGAAGGCGCCGCGGTACACCACGTGTCCAGTGCCGATCCAGTTGTAAGGCAGCTTGTAGAGGTTGCTCCAGCGGCCTGGGAGGGGTGGGAGGCATTCAGAGCTCCTGGTGACCACAGCCCAGGCACGGAGCTGTGTCCCGTGCCGGGGTCACAGAGAGCCTGGAGGCCCTGCGCCACTACCGGCCCTCACCCTGCTTGAAGTTCTCCAGGCTCCTGAACTCCACCAGGCTGTTGCCATAGTAGTAGTTGGTGACATAGATGCGGTCATCCTTGGCCGCCGGGTCCTTCATCCAGGCCCCCTCATTGCGCCCGTAGCTGTGGTGCTCCGTGGGGGGGTCCACTGAGCGGATGGTGCCTTCGCACTCCACCTCCTTCACTGCAGAGGGAGGAGGAGGGGAGGAAGGCTCAGTGCTGCCAGAGACAGTTTGGAGCCGCCCGCACCACCCACCTTCACCCACCTCTGTTGGGCACTTCAGGGCCCCCGGTGCTGACAGCTCCACCCCCATGCGCGGTGCCAGGGTGGCTGTGGGCAGTGGTGTGCGGGGCTGGGGCAGTGCTGGGTGCAGCTGTGGTGTGGGGCACTGGGGGCTCTGCACGTGTGCCAGGCTGAGCCGGGGTGTCCGCGAGGCCCCGCTCCTGCTGCCGCTCGGGCACGGCCACCGCCCTGGCAGGGCTCTCTGTGCGGACATGCGGTGGGGTCAGCACTGGCCGTGGGGACCCACGGGATGGTGCCCGCAGCCTCACAACCCCAGCCTGAGCACTCACCACGGCTGCCGGCCGCCCTCTGCACCTCTTCCACCTGCCCAGCCTTGTAGTAGGTGATGCCCCGCACCACGGTCTGCTGCTGCGCAGGGAGCTTGGCCTTGGCCGTGGGCTGCGGGCCCCCTCTCTTGGCATTTTCCTTCTTAGGCTTCTCAGGCTTTAGTGGTTTCTCCTTGGGTGTGCGGACAGGCAGTGCCTTGCGGACAGCAGGGAACCGCGCCGCCTCCTTCCCACGGCTGCCTGCCGTGTCCTGGGGGAACCCAGTCAGAGCCCTCCAGTCCCTTCCCACGATGGAGCTGTGGGCACTGCTGCAAGCCTGCAGCATAGTGGGGCTGGGGGTACCTGTGCTTTGCTGTCGGGAGCGGCAGCAGCGTCCTTCTGCAGCAGCTGGTAGCCCAGGTTGGAGATCTCCTTCTTGATGCTGATCATGATGTCAGAGTAGTTCTCATAACGCTTCATCTGGTCGGCGAGGTGCAGGACGCTCTCCTTCATGATGTTGTTGTCCCGGCTCAGGTTGGTCTTGATGGTCTGGCAGAGAAACAGAGAGGGAGAAGAGAGGAAGAGGAGAGTAGGTGTGGAGCTACAGAGGAGCCCGCAGCATCCCTTGAGGACCCGAGCAGCCAGGTGACACCTGGCCACAGTTTGTGGTGCTGCTGGGCTGGGTGCAGGCACACAGTGGGGAAGGTGCTTACCTCCTCCAGCGTGTTCATCTGGGCCACCACCTTACTGATGTAGGAGTGCACCTTCATCAAGTCCATGCTGTAGAGCGTTCCCTCCAGTAGGTCCACCATAGACTGCAGCTGCGGGGGGAGAGCCAGGCTGGGGTGGGGAGCACAGGGCCCCAACCTACGGCTGTGGTGCTGTGGGGCCGGGAGCTACCTTGAAGAGCTCGGGTGCCTGCTTCTTCAGCTTCTCCATCTTCCATTCGTTCTCACAGGGGTTGAGTGAGGAGGGCGGCGCAGTGCAGGAGCACTTGCAGTCAACCCCTGAGCTCACCGTCTCCACAGTGTAGAAGTCCTCCACACGTGCGCTGCCATCCCTGACGCGGCTGCAGGCGTCCTTGCTGAGCGGGCGCAGGATGCACTTGCAGCGGCAGTCAGAGCCCTCCGAGGTCATCCGCACCTGGTCCTCGCCCAGCGCCTGGGGGGATGCAATGGGGGGGATCCCGTTGCCACCGCTGGGCCCCTTCCACTGCATGTCCCTCCCCAGAGGCTCCTGGCCACAGGGCACGGCCCCAACCCAGGCTGCTCCGTCCCTGTCCCCCACCAGAGTGACAGTGACAAAGCCCAGAGCTCCTTGCCCACGCAGCAGGATGCCACGTGCCCAGGCACACGGTGTCCACTCCTGCTGCCATCTCCCAGCTGCTGGCCAGCCCCAGGCAGGCAGCTCTGCCCTCAAGTGCTGCAGCATGGCCGGGGGAGCCATGGAGCTCACACCCCACACAGGGCCGATTGTTCAGCCGAGCTGCAGCCGCCCTGGGGTGAGCTCGGCTCTGCAGATGGGCTCCCCCACAGCCCACTGCGCATCAAGGGCTCCCTTGTTCCCACACAAGGCCCTGATGCACGCTAGCGAGCCCAGGGTGCTGTCGGCTGCCTTTTCCAGATAAGGAGCTGCTCTCTCTCCAGCCGTGTTTGGGAACAATGCTCCCAGCACGCGGGCTCAGTGATGCTGTGCGTCACCCAGTGCAGAGATGGCTGCACTGCGGCTTCAGCATGGGGAAAACCACTTGCTCCTGTCCTGCACTGCTCACCACGTGCTGTGAGCAGGGCTGTGAGCAGGGCTGGAAGATGCAGCACAGCAGCTGCAGCCGAGATTTCTCCACCCTGGGCCAGCACCACAGCAGAGTGACGCCAGTGGAGCAGAGAGGGCTGCCTGTTCTCTCACACCCATCCATGAAAAAAAAAAACTTTGTCCAAGCTGGTTTTGGCTGACACTGGCTTGGAAAAAGTGGTTTATGTGTGCTATAGGCTGTGTTGCAGGCTGCCTGAAGGGCACGCACTTCCCTGGGGGTCAGCAGGAACTCCTCTATAGGACCAGTCCTGGGAACACTGTGAGTTGGTAGGGCAGTGGCAGGGCCAATGCTCCATGGACACAGCTCCAGTGGGGAAACTGGGCAGTGCCTGCAGACATGAGCACAGCGATCACTGCCTCTGCCACTCATGTCTGTGTTCTAGCGAGTCCCTCTGTGAGGGAATGCAGAGCTCAGTGCTGCTCTGGGGCTCAGGAAAGAGCAAACCCCGGGTGGTGGGTTTCCGTTGGGACTCGGGCTGGGCCAGGTGGTAACCTAGCTGGGTTGGACAAGGTCTGCCCTCAGCTCAGCCCACCCCTACAGCCCGTGGGCAGGAGCAGGTCCTGGTGCTGTGAGGGGAAGGCAGTGTCGGGACCTCTGGGAGTGTGAGGACCCTGCGGCCATGGGATCAGTGTGACTCACTCTGGGAACACCCGGTGGCAGGGCTGGGACATGGCTTTAACTCTTGTTGTCCCATCCTCCACACCCCAGGAGTGCAGTGTGGCGTGGGAAAGGGCAGTGCTGCAGCATTTCTGCCAGCACTGTGCCTTCCTGACTCAGTGGTGGCTGAGAACAGTGACCAGCACTGCTCCTTCGGCCCCCCACGAGCCGGAGGTTCTCCTTCCTGAGGTTGCAGCGAAGCCCCTCTGTTTTGCATTTCTTTTCATAGGGAAACGAAGGATTCGGCAGCTGGGAGGAAACCATTCGGCTGCTGGCAGTGCTGCAAAAGGAACAGGATCTCGTCAACCTCTGCAGGGCGCCGCGGGCAGCGAGAGATGTGGGCAGGGAGCGGATCCCCTTAGCAAACACTGCAGCTCCAAGCCCTGCTGACCTCCCCAGGGCCGTGTCAGCACTTGTGCAAACACGAGGGAGGGCTGCGAGCATCTCCCTCCATCTCTGCATGGGCTGAGCCAGCAGCACAGCCCTCCCGGACAGGGAACCCCGTTGCTGGCTCAGCCCATGCAGAAATTCACATGCACAGCAGCATCCCAAAACCATGAGAGCAGCAGCCCCAGCCCTCGCAGTCGTGCACCTTCCAGCCGGTGGCAGCTTCCCGTGGGAGCAGAGCAGGCCGTGCCATTTCCCTCCCATTGCTTCTTGGCAGCGCTGCTCTGGGGAGGAACGGGGCTCAGCGTCATGCTTAGGTGGGGCGTGCACAGTGCCGGAGCGCTGCTGTGCGTTGTTTGCGCTGCGCATGGAGTTGAGCAAACCGAGGTGGGAAGCGGCATTAGCTCCTACAGCCAGCCAACAAGGGAGCTCCTTTGCACGGGCGGTAACATTAATCCCCGTTCTGCCCTCTCAACGGCTTCCTTAAACAGGAACCATATGTTCTATTTATACATGAAAGGTTATAAACAAGGAAGTCTTAAAACACGGTCCTCTCACTGCGGAGGTCGGTGTCAGGAGCATCAGCGGGGACTGTACTCGGCGTCCCTCCCTGCTCAGTGCGGGCGCTGCTGCCGAGGCCGGCGGACACCCAGCGGCTCCGTGGGGCGGCCGCAGCCCCGCTTTCCCGTGCCGTGTCCGTGCCGCGAGCCGCGGAACTTTCCCAGCGCTGTTTGCGTTTCTGGGACCTACGCAAAAGCGCTCCCACGAGCGCTGAATTTGTGCCATTTGGTGAAAGAGGGACCTTCGCCAATGAGCGCCGGGCAGCGTTCGCCACGATGCGATTTCTGCCTGGGGGTTTGCGCGGTGAGGGGCACCGCGGAGGAGCCCCGTCGCTCTCCGCCCTCGGGCGCTCGGCACAACGCGGCCCGCCCCGACGCGCGGAGCCGGGCGAGAGGCGGCTGCGGGACGGGACGGCGTGCGGGGCTCAGAGCCCCGAGCTCCGCGTCGGGAGCCGCCCCGTACGGCGCAACCGGTGCCGCACCGCAGGAACCCGCGCCGTCCGTCTCCCGAGCCGCGCGCGGGGCGCTTCTTCCAGGGCTCCGCTCGCGGCACCAATCCCCGCCCGACGGCTCCCTGGGCTCCGCCCGTGCCGCGCACCTGAGCCCCGCGTTCCGGCCGCTCCTTACCGTGACGGCGCCGCGCGCCGCGGCCAACGCCGGCAGCAGCAGCGCCGGGAGCAGCAGCGCCCGCATGGCGAGAGCGGCGCCGAGCGCCCGCACCGAGCGCCCGCTCCGCCCGGCCCTCGCGGGGAGGAGCAGCCCCGCCCCAGCCCCGCGGCGGCACCGACCCTGAGCTTCTCCTCGTCCCGCCCCGGCGGAGTGCCCGGTGCCCGCCCTGGGGCCGGACGGTCTCGTGCTGCCCGTGGCTGCTTTCGCCGTGCCGTGCCCCGTTGCCCCGCGCCGCTGCCCGGCAGCCCAGCCCAGCTCAGCCCAGCCCAGCCCCGCCTCGGCCCCCCCACGGAGCGGAGTCCCCGCACCGCGCCGCCTCGAGCCCGGCCGCCCCCTAGCGCCGCACGGCCCCGCGTGGGACGGGGCGGGGCGGGGGGGCGGGGCCAAAGCGCTGCGGGGCGGGGCGGCCGAAGGCGGAGCCTCTCTCCCCGCGGGGATATCCGGCGGCGCGGGCGGACTACGCTTCCCGGCGTTCCCCGCGGGAGGCGGGGCGGCCCGGCACGGCCCGTGCGCGGCGCCCGCAGCGGCGGCTCGGGGCTGTCAGCAGCGCCCGGAGCGGCCATGGGGCAGCGCGGCCGCCGGGGCCCCTGAGAGCCGCCGCGCCCCGGCCCCGGCGCCGCCATGGAGCTGGAGCCGCCCGCGGAGCTCCCGGAGCCGCGCGCCGCCGCCAAAGGACCGCCCCGCAACGGTGAGTGCGTGCGCGGGGCGCGGGGCCGAGGGCGCTGCGGGGCCGCCGGGCCGGGGGGCTCGGGGCGCGGGCCGGGCCCGGCCGCGTTGTGGGGGCGCGAGGCGGTGCGGGGTGGTGCGGTGTCACGTTGCGGTCCGGCCCGGGTCCCTTGGGGGCGCGGGGTCCGGTGGGGGCGCAACAAAGGCCGCGGCCGCGCTGCCCCCTCCCGGCCCCGCGCTTTGTGCCCCGGGCGCTGCCCCGGCCCTGAGCGCCGCGGGCGGGAATCCGCGCTGGGGGGAGCGCGGCTCTCCGGGGGGCGGCGTCGCCCGGCGGCGTTGCCCCGCGTCGCTCCCGGTGCCGCCCCCGCGCCGCCGCTCCCCGCGTTTCGGGCCGCGCTCCGGGCGCCGCAGGCACCATTTGGGCCCTTTTACACTTCCAGTATGCAGCTGCCGCATCTGCACTTGAATGTCCCTGCCAATTTTTATGGCTTACGATTGCATTTTACCATCTTAAGGCACTTTTCTCTACAAAGGATTCTCTCGAACAAAAGGGGCTCCTTATCGGGCAGTGCGGTTTTTGCTGCCTTCCAGCGCTGCCCTGATGCACCCAATACTGAGATGTGACCATCTACGAATGTCCCTTGGGGCCGTGACCCTCAGCACGGAGTTGCTGGATACGTTTTATCTCCCTTAATTAGATGTTCAGTTGGATGAGAAGCATCACATCTTTTCTTTTGAACTTTCTGCCTTGGTTTGGGAGCTGATGCTGCCGTGGTCCCCATTCAGCAGCGTTAGCAGTTTGCCCATGCTCACTGATTTCCCTATAGAGATGTGGGACTTGGGGTCCCTTTTGTTTGCTCCCACTTGTTTCCTGCAGCTCAGTGCAGGCGTTGCTGCCAGTACCTGCAGCCTGTCCTGCTGCTCCATGGGTGATGTAACCCTGGTGCTGCTTTGCCTCCAAAATCATGGAGTGCTGACGCTGTGCGGAGCTGCTGTGCGACCTTCAGCCTCTGCCTGGCCGGGTGCAGCGGGGCGATGGGCTCGGCTCTTTGCTGGCTCAGAAAATACCTGCAAATGGCAATGGGGTACGGGCTGGGAGAGCTTCCCTGCCTAACAAAGGTTCCTAGCCCTTCTGGTGCTTCGAAGTTTGGTATCTATGCTCACTCTTCAAGAAAACAATTGAACTTTATGGCATTGTGTATAAAAGCAGGCTACATTAGCAGTGGCTGTGTTAAAACCCATTAATGAACTTAAGCCCTACATGTGGCTCCTGGTTAACCCTGAGTGGACTGCTGGGGTGCGCTGCTGGCGGTAGGGGGGGAACCCCAGCACTGCTTTGAAATGCAGCCGTGTGGCTGTGGGTCAGCAGTTACAGCCTTGCTGTCGGAGCTGTATTTTGGGCACTCTCACCTTCTGAGAGGATTTCCCCCCGCATGTAACAAACACACTCTGTAGTACCGCATATGGAAGGCAATGGGTGAAGTACGTTATTTTTCAAAGTCACGAGTTCACGAGGGCGCCAATTTCTCCTGCAACAGAAGCAATTTCTTCCTGGCAGGATCCTCCTGGAGACCGCTTTCTCTATGCTTTTATTTGGTATGTTTTTCTTCTGTCAATAAAACATAAAAATAATCAGAGTGGCATCAGAGATGTTATGTTCAGTGGGATCAGTAGCAAAGCAGCCATCTGGAGATGAGGCGATGTGTGCTTTGCTGTGCTGTAAGGCGGATGTGTCGGGAAAGCAGCAGAGCTCCTCGAGTTCCTTAAAGTCAGGCAGGTCTCCGTTTGTGTGAACCATGTGGCAGAGAGAAGGGAGAGCTGAGGGACCGCAGAGATGTGCTATGCTCTAAGAGAAGTCGCTGCTCGCGCCCTTCCCTTTGCCGCAGCTCTCTTAGAAATGTTACTGACGGTTTTAGTGGCTCTTTATGCTTGGTTGCTTTGCATCTGATGAGATAAGCCTTTGCCTAACAAAGGCTGCTTCGTGGATATCGCTGGGTCCTGGCTGACTCGCTATAAACATTTCTTTGAAGCTTTGGGAAGGAAAACAAATTGAGTCGTGGAATGGCATTGCTGCTAAAGTCAGACTGAATCCAGAAGTTATGGTGCGAGTTGGGCACGGTGCCGGTCTGTGTGGCAGAGATGGTCTCACACTGCAGTGACAAACAGCGCGGCTCTGCGCTCACTGTGAGGAATGAGGTCGGCAATTTAGGAAGAACCAATTCCTCCATTTTGATTTGACATTGAGGTGGAAAAATGCCTCTTGGTGTGAAGTTGGAATTCAGTATTGATGGCTTCTGTAGATCATTAATCGGGAAAGGCTTCGTGCGTGTCTTTGTGACTGCGATGTGTGTTTGGCAGGAGTGTGACACTGCCGCCGTCGTTTTTCTTATTTTGCTACGAGGTGTAGAAATGCTCCACCACAGGAACAGGAGGGACTCTCCCGTTCAGGACAGCCCTCCAGCTGTCGGGGAGCGGGGCTGTCCTGCTGCTGTGTCTCTGGCAGGTCGCTTTTGGTAGCTTTTTTCAGGAGGAGAATGAGGAAGAGGTTCAGTAAATTACTGTTCAACTCTTTCGTGGTGGCGGCTTCAAAAAAACGTGTTTAGGCTGCATTCTCTGAGAATGAGAGCACAGTTTATCCTGTTGATAAACTGCGTATTTAAATAAAGCCTTCAGCAGTGTAATCTGGTAATTCTAATGAAGTCATTTACATAAAGAATTGGCCCCGGATCTCATCAGATGGCTGCTGGTGAGCTGCGGTGCATTCTTTCCCTCCAGCTGTATTAAAGTGGCCTTTTGATCCTTTTTTTTTTTCCTTTAAGCACAGTGGTTATCACTTTGCGGAGTTAATTGAGAAAAGGAAGTTGGGGGACAAGAGCACCCTTCAAGGTTTAGCTTAAGTCTTCATTATTGAAGTTCTAATTACCTCATTAAAAAAAAAAGCTTTCAGATTTTACATTGAAATTGTTTTCGTAGAGGAAATGCGCTGCCAGTAGGACAGCTTCAGTAAGATTCTGCACTGGTAAATGATTACCAATAACTTATCTTGAAAGCAGTGTGTCTGCAGTGCCTTAATGATGCTCCAGCCCTGCGATAAGGTGGCTGCGTGCACTGAGGGTGGATGGACCCCGCGTCCTTCAGACACTGCAGGAGTTGTTCTGCTTTCTGTTGCCTCATCATCCTGATGACTCCGTGTGAGTGCTGCTGCTTGGAGGCATTTCTGTCTGTGTGAAGGTGTTTTAAGCTGTTCTTTATTTCCCTTGTGCATCGGGGGGGAAAAAAAAAAGCTAAAAACTCTCCCAAGCTGTAATATGAGGTGACTGAGAGCTGCTGCTGTGTCATTGCCTTGAGATTCCTCCTCCTATTGAAACTTGGTGGGAGCTTTAAATATACCATCGAAGTATAACGTGGAATTCTGAAGCCTTTGAAGGATGGCTGTCATAGAGGTAGTAACAAAGCGGAGGATTTCTGGTCCATGGTGATCCTGCCAAATGCTGCCTATTCTTCCAGAAGGCTTCTCTTTCAGCCTCACAGCTGGAACTTTGTTTGTTTGGCAGTGTGTACTAAAAACTGATTATAGTATGTTGTTACTGTGTTACGTGTACTTCTGCTGTGAGATTATACATCCTACGAACAGCAGCAGAGCAGTGATTGTTCCTACCTGTGAATAACTCGAGTTATCGGCAGAGCTGTGCTTTGCTGTTGCACTGGAGGCTCTGCTGAGCGTTAAGGTTGGGTTTGTAACAGTTTGTGTGTCTAAAAGGAGCTGAAGCCCCAGCTCCCACCAGAACGGGATCCCATGGCTCTGTGGTGGGGGGTATTGGCCTGGCTTGCAAAACTGGAGAGAAGTGAGGAAGCATCTGCTGAGCACAGGACTGTGTGAGCTCGTGTTCCTGCCTTTCAGCAGTGATCTGAGTGTGCTGGTTTGGTGCATCCAGCGGTGCTTGTTGGCTCTGTGCAGCTTTTCTTTGCCTCCTTC